AAAAAAAAAAAAAATCAACAAAGCACAATCTATCAGAGTTCATGGATAAACAAGTTAACACAACAACATTTTCCAGTAAAAATAAGCTCGCCCTTGTCATCGTTCCGTGAAGTTGAAGCTTCCCACGCCCCACGCTCAGCCCTTCTGGCACATGCGATTATCGGAAAACTATGCGCATTTGGGGCTCCTCGTAAGGAGTTGCGAAGACTAAATCTTGCTGGGGCGCTCTTGAGAGACGCAATTGATGAGGGCTTGAGCAGATTCAAGTGGAAGCTGCAGTGAATTTGGATCGAGTTGGTGTGAATACTTGAAGCCAATTTCATGGCTCCAAAGCCTTTTCCTTTTTTGTTTGTTCTTGGCTCTTCGTTGCTTGTTTCACTAGCACACGATGAGTCCAAACGACGGTCCCTTTAAAAATCCAGTGGATTTGGTTAACACCACACAAATATATATATATATGATTTCGATATCGTATTTACTAAAATTAATAGTAAAAAAATAGGTCAGTATTTAATGTAATTCATAAATAGTAGTTTTATTATTTTTTCATTTTTCTTTAAAAATCATACAATTTAATTTATAAATACGTTTTAATATAATCATACAATTTAATTGATAAAAATCATACAATTTAATATTTTTTATTTAAAAATATGCTTTAATACACACACATATATAGTACTTTTTTAATAAATTTGAATAAAATGTGTTACTTAAATATCTAAACAATTTAAAATTTCAAATAATTAAATTAATTGATAAATAATTTATAAATCTCTATTTTATTTAAATATGTAACTTTATTTTATATAAATTTAAGTATATCAACATTTATTTAGAAAATCGTATCGGTCCAACCAGTTCAACCGATTGGTGTTGACGAATTCAATAGAAAATATTTTATTCAAGTGAATTAGACTGATTATAAACTGGTCTCGGTCCATTCAGTAAATCTTAATTAATTTATTTGTATATTTAATTTATAACATAATCCTAATATTGTTTTTTCTTGCATCGCACGGGCCACGCACTAGTGGAAATGTATTGGGTATTGTGGTTGCAAGTGTTTGGTGATGATATAAGCTAGTTTACAGTTTTAATTAGTTTATAATAAAGGTTTTGTATTTAAATACATTTAGTTTTGTCTGATGATTTTTTAAAAAACTCGAGCTTATTTCATAAGTTTGACGCTTTGTTAACTTTTTAAACATGCACATTGAAATTTTATTTAATCTAGCTTATTGTCTCATTTTTACCCGACACTTTTATCATATAAACTTTTTTAAGCCATAAGTCACATGCTATCCATTATAAGCTTGAAATTCACTTATAAAAAAACTAGCGTATAGGTTATGAGTAATGCTATAAAGCCAACTTGAGTTACAATTTGGGTTACAACACCATTGTAAATGCATTATTTAATAATTTCTTGATAATACATTTACACTTGGGTTGTAATCCAAGTTGTCACCCAAGTTGGCCAAATAGCATTATTCATAGGTTATGAGTAATGCTATAAAGCCAACTTGAGTTACAATTTGGGTTACAACACCATTGTAAATGCATTATTTAATAATTTCTTGATAATACATTTACACTTGGGTTGTAATCCAAGTTGTCACCCAAGTTGACAATACATTTAAACTTTCTATATTTAAATAAGTTTTGTTTGGTATGGTGAGCTTTTTAAGCTCGAGTTTATCTCATAAACTTTTTGGGTAGTTTTTCAAATAAGTTAGTTAAACTTTTTTATTTCAGCTAGCTTATCATATAATTTTAACAATCACTTTTATTTATCATATAAGCTAGTTTTTTAAACTATAAGACATAGGATATAAGCTATAAGCTCGAAAATTACTTATGAGCTATAAGCTAGCTTATCTGTTATCAACTATCTTATTAGCTAGTTTACCAAATATTGTCATAAGCTAGTTTATCAGTACCAAACACAACCTAACAAAATCACTTTTGGAAAATAATAAACTTATTATTTAAAAAACAATAAACTCATTATTTAGAAATTTGGTATGAGTTTACAAAGGGAGAAATAATTTTGAATCTTTGATGCAACGTAATCAATTTTAGTCCTAAATTTTTAAGACTTGATCAATTTTGGTAAAAAAAAAAATAAAAAATACAAATGCAAAGAAACGAAACAATTGTCGCATTTCTCACCCTCCACCACCGTTGTTGCTCGTAGAGAATTTCAACAAATTATATGCCATTTTAAAATTTTTACTTGATCTATATATCTAACACTAGTACAATTATCGTGTATTACACAGGTGTTTGCTAATTTTTTTTTCTTAAAATCTAAAATTAATGAGAAAAAATAGTTAAAAAAATTAAATACCTTTTATAAATATATATATTATATTATATATTTAGTATGTCACTTTTTATTTGTGCGACGTACTTGTGTTATATTATAATAATTTTTTTAACTTACAACATATAACAACATGAAACATAAATATATCAATTGAGAAATAATTTTATTTTTCTAATGACTTTTAATAAATATAATTATTTTTATTATTATAAATATAAATATAATTTATTTATTTTTTTTCGGTACAATAAAGGGAGGCAAAGCCTACGCTAACTAGATAACAACCTTCCTGGAATAAGACACGCCGACCACGTCGTGCTGTAGCCAGATCCCCGCCCCCGCCGGAGGGGAATCTAATCTCTGAAAACCACCCGGCCCCTTAGCCGCCAAGGATGTCAAAAAATCCGCCACAAAGTTAGTCTCACGATAACCATGGGCAAGCCGCACTGTCCAAGGGCGACCCAAAAGCTCCCGAATCCCCTTCAACACATTGCCATGCGGCCCATCATAAACATCACGTTCCATCATCTCAAGGATACTCTTGTTGTCCACTTCAACAATAATGTTACGGGCCCCTATATCCCATGCCAACATCAGCCCTTGGAACAAACCCCATAACTCGGCTCCAATAATCGTGCAGAAGCCAATATTCATCAAGAATCCACTCACCCATCTCCCATGGTGGTCTCGAATGACACCCCCGGCACTCGCCATCCCCGTCGCCGGAATAAAACTTCCATCAGTATTGACCTTCAACTCGCCCACCCCCGGGCTAGACCAGGCTAACCACTGTGTCTCTCGCAACCCGGAAATCCCAACCTTCCGGCCACTCTCCAAGGCCCCGCGCACCGTGTCGGCAAATGAGAGGATTTCACCAACCCTGTTAGCCACAGCGGTATCGACTCCTTGAAACAACTTTAAATTACGCCATCGCCATAAACGCCACGATGTGAGGCCAAATAAACTGCTCCAATTATCTGTCAAAGAAAAGCCGCCAGACAAATTGGATCTCAACCATCCTGGCAGGTCCAAAGAAAAGAACTCGGGCCATCGCGTATGAGGCAGCAGCCTTTTCCATGTGCTCATCGCTTCCGGACAATCCCGAAGTGCATGTAGAGTCGACTCAGCCTCCCCCGAGCATATCGTACAAATCGAACTCGCCGCCATATGCCGACGCACACGTATATACAATACGGATGTCAAATCGAAAATTATCAAAAGATGATTAATTTGATATATTATATATGTAAAACCGATAGAAAATATAAAATTTATCATCTTTTAAAATACATTTACAATTCAATAGCTAATTGAAGGAAACAAATTAAAAGTCAGGGATATATTAGTCACTTAGTGTCTCACTATGTAAAATTCCAAGGAATTAAAGGGTTATATTAGTACAAGTGATATTAAAATACATAAGTTAGCTAAATAATATTTATGGAATGTCCAAACCTAGATTATTAATTATTAATATATCAATATTATTTGTCCAAACCTAATTACGAAGCATGATTCTTCGCCAAGTATGATTCCGAAGCACCAGAAACAACCACGTAAGTTCAGCGCATTCGAGAATTATATATAGGGAGGGTTTAGTCTCATCATGTGTAATCGAATGTTACAGAAAATTATACTGTTGAGTTTTTAATAAAACATATGTATCTAAAGTAAGTGTATGAGTGGATATGAATAATCCAACTCAAAATCTACCTTATCTTTAACTCAATCGCCCTATTTGCATTAGTATAAATATAATTAACTAATATTAATCATTTATATTTACACACCATTTAACTTTGATTCATTAATTATACACTCATATAATTTTAACTACCTATCACTTCTAATTACATCTCTCATATACATCAAATAAACTTTAATCATTTTTATTTTACTTTAAATCTCACTAAAAAGTTAAAACTTAACAAAACCAATTGTTTCAAGACTACTCTCGTTGAAAAAAAATAAAAAATAAAAAATAAAAATAAACAAACAAACAAACAAAATTTGATATGTCTATATCCACTCTGGTGAAATCTAAAATATTTTAGGATGAATTAAAGATATTGTCTGATATCCCAAGCCGATATCTTCAAAACGTATATTATTTGTATGAATTAACAACGTGGCAATCATCCCCTTATATATAATTACAAAACGCGTTGAGCACAATTTCGCATGCTTCATAATATAGATCGAATAAAAAATACTATTTTCTATGCTAAATAATTTAATTTTGGATTACCATTAATACGCATATTTAATATATTTAAATATTTACATATAAATCTATTTAGTATCTTCTTTCTTTAACATGCATATCATATCACTTTCTAAATTTTTTGTTTTGTCCATATTATTCTTTTATGTGTTTAAAAAAAAATTACACAAAACAAACTATTGATGTATATAAATTAGTTTTTAGAATTTAAAAATAATATTGTCAGTTCGCTTGATTATTTATTATCAATTGTTATATATTGTTTCATATTTATTTTTTTCCAACTTCAACAAAATTTATAAATTTTTTTTATTTCATTCTTTATTTTGCATTTTGTATTTTATCATACACTCGTGTAGCACACGAGTATCGTACTTGAAATATCATATTTTGAAAAATAATATAAAAAATATAATCTTCAATATAATAATTATATATTTTTAGTATTAAATTATGATTGATGCATTGAATTTTCAAGTACATATTTTTCTGTTTATATAATATAAAATTTTGGAGTTGTCATAAGCCGCGGCCAAATTCGTCTCCGAGAAAACCCTACTCACTTTTTCCATTCCTCTCCGTGAAGCTCCCTAGTTCCCAATGGCGACGGCGACAATACCTAAAGTCGAAAACCCTAAAGTCACTGCAGATCTCAAGCTAACTCCTCCGAGCACCGAAGGCACGTCATCAGTTGAACAAACGCCGGGTCAACGTGGGGGCGACGGCGAATCCAACGGCAAACTGCGGCCGGGGAAAACCATCAACGCCGATGGAGACGGCCCGGCTGCTGATATTCAGAAGAAAATGAAGCGTGCAGAGCGGTTTGGTATGCCTGTGCATCTGTCCGAGGAAGAGAAGCGCAATTCTCGAGCTGAGAGGTACTCAATTTATAGTTATAATTTGTTTGATCGGACTTACAGCTTTTGGGGCTGGCGGATTAGGTTAGGGTTAGGGTTTGGTACTTTTTGCCGTGTTGGATTTGGGAACCCCATATTAGGTCAGGTCTAAGTCAAGAACATGAAGACGACTGCGTGACCTTTTCAATTTCTGCCAGAGTTAAACATGAAATGAAATCAGAATGCTTAACAGCACTAATTAGTATCCTGCAAAGAGCTAAGCCTCAGTGATGCTTTCTTTACCCTTATGTTGTTAGATTATATCTCGTATGAATGAGGTTTATTGGGCCATGTTCTCAAAGTTCTGTCCTTTTGGTGAAGGTTTGGCACCAGTCCTGCTGTCAGTGAATTAGATTCATCAAAGCAGTCTGAGGAGCTGAAGAGGAAGGCTAGAGCAGAGAGGTTTTGTGCTTTTGGGTTTAGTTTTTACTTTTTAGTGAATTTGTGCGTGCTGGGCGAAAATGCTGACCCTTTGTTATCTTTCTGTAGGTTTGGGGTACTGCAATCTACACCAGCTGATGAGGATGGGAAAAAGAAAGCTAGACTTGCTAGGTTTGGATCATCTGTGACTGATTCGGCAGAGGAAGATAAAAAGAAAGCTAGGGCGCTCAGGTTTTTGGCATCTTCACTTTTGTCTTCACTATTTTGAGATATGGCATAACCGTTAATATGCTTTCAGTCATAGGTGTGGATATCTTTATATGACATAATGCTTTCTAAGAACATTTGAGTAGCTATTAATGAGTTAGTGATCTGTGGTGTTTTGCAGGTTTGCGCAGCCAGATTCTGGTTCAAAGGTAAATGCAGTTGATAAATATTAATATTAAAGTGGGTATTTATGCAGATGATAATGACAATTTCAGCAATGGTATGTTTATGTTCCCTCTTCTTAATCTTGAATACTCATTTTTTTTTTCTTGTTGTGCACATTTCAGAAGACAGCTATTGCTGGCAAGGCTGGTCCAGGGACCTGAAGTATTTATCTGCGATCAGTAGTGACTAGTGAGACATTCTTACGGAAACTTCTATTCATCTATCTATTTATTTAGTTATTTAATTATTATTATTATTTTGACACTGGTTCTGTTCTCATCCATTTTCAGGAACTTATGGTTCGAGTATTTAACTTCATGTTCCTCCCTGTGGTTTTCATGCTGACTCACTAACATGGATTCATGTAGCATTGTTATTACAACTTACATCAGTGCACAAGGATCACAATTTTCTTTATTTCCAAACTCAACTAGTTATGGTTTTCCTGGTGAGACCTGGGTTAATTAGTGGCCATGTCCGTGGAGTGAACATGTTCTAGTTGACCATCAACCATATTTAGATTAAAAAAAATCCTTAGGTCCGTTTCTTTTCTTTTATTTTTATTTAAAATCCTTAGGTCCGTTTCTTTTCTTTTTATTTTTCTCGTTTTTTCTTGATTGTTTATGTGATTCGGTTTTAGTAATTGTTGTTTGATCGGTTTATAGCCCAAAAGTTTGTGGTCTGGTTTGTACCTTTACTGGATTAATTTGCAGTTGCTTCTGTGAAGTCTTATAATAGGGGATTTTCTCAACTATGCTATATGTTATAACTGCCTGGTAATAGTCGTACTGGGCCTAGTTTTGAGAATTTATCTTGTTTTTGGAGAAGCTCAATGCTCTATGAAAAAAGATTAACTACATGTGCCTGGACTCGGGTACAAGGGAGGGTCTTTGAGCAAAATATTTCATTGAAAAAGTTTGAGACATCTCATGAATTCAATGCTTTATGGTGAAAATTATTATCTCCCTTTGGTTTTAAACTCTCAAGTGTGTTTTCTTCAATATGCATTTCGACCTTGTTGGTTTTCTGCTGCGTACTTTTCAAGAGTTTGATCACTAAACTTTAGGTAGATTCATTATTATGTTTTTTTTTTTCCTTGTTTTTGCTTTTGTTATTTTATTTTTTAGTAATTTTCTTGGTAGCTAAATACTCTATAGTATGTGTTGTCATGTGTTTAATATGGTTATGACGAGATGTTTCCCTGGGAGGTGGTCGTAAATTACCTATGGTCTCATCAGGTGAATTTTCTAGGTTACTACTACTGCCTTGTGCTGGAATTAGTTGTAGCAATTGACTGAAAAAACTGTCATGTTTTTTGGCAAAACTTTTGTTGAGGCTTTCCAAATCTGGTAAAAGCCTCTTTGAACTTACCTGAAATTCTATTAGTTCTGAAAGCTCTTATTTGTTATCTGTTGATTATTATGTCATCTGTTTCAACTCCGGCAAAGGTTCCAACAACAAAATATGATGGTCTATGGTGTGATGATTTTTTTCTCTTGTTCAATACAAGAAATCTTAAGAGAACAAATTTAGTAAATTGACTGATTACAAACTTGTTAATTATGCATATCTTGGACTTAATTGATGAATTTAGTCAATTTACTACATAAGGTATGGAATAATTTGTTCAGAATGAGTTATTTTGGTTAACCGTAGTTAATTTTGAAAAGGTGGTATGCCTAGTTGTTAGTAGTATTTTAAAAATGTATAAATTAATAATAAAAATAAAATAATTATAATTGATTTAATGTAAAAGTAAAAGATAAATGATTGGAAATGATTGAAAATGATTGAAAATGTTAGGTAGTTAAAATTATGTGAGTGAATGAATAGTGAATTAAAGTTGATGTGATGTGTAAGAATGATTGATTTGTATTATTTAATTATATGAATAATATTAAAGATAATGAGGTTGAGTTAAAGTTGAGTTAGATTTTGAGTTGAAAAAAAAAGTGAGCAAATTATTTCATAAACAAGCAAGCCTTGAATTTTTGTATATAGGTTGTTTGAAAGATACTTGTTTTGTTTGGAAGCATTTATCAAACGGATCCAAATGTCCATTTGGACAAAGTATGTTGTATTTGGTGCTAAATTAAAAATAGACTTGTGTATAAGTTGGTTCTCCAGAAATTCTTTGTAGACCTTAAGGGTGTGTTTGGTTCAATGGAGGGAAAGGGAGGGGATGAATTTTAATGGAGAGAAAGGGAGGGGAGGGGAGGTAATGTAAAATAATTTTACCTTGTTTGGATGGATTATTTAGGAGGGGAAGGGAGGGAAAATGGTAAACCTTGTTTGGTTGAGGAAGGGAAAATAAAACCAAAATGATAAATTTACCCTTAATGAAATAAAATAAAAAATTAAAAACAATTGAAAGTAAGGGCTAAAAGGTAATTTTATATCATCACAAATCACTTCCCCTCCAAATCCCTCCAATTTTGGAGGGGAGAAAAAAGTGGGGGAGAGGAGGGAAAATCACTTGAAATATTCCTCTCCCTCCCTTCCTAATTTTGCAACCAAACAAGTGAAAATTAAAATTTTCCCTCCCCTTCTCTCTATATTCCTCAAACCAAACAACCCCTAAATGAATTTTTACAATAGTGCTTCCAAACAAACACATTACTCGGAGAGAGTAGAACGACCCAACATAAGTGATGCTACTTGGTATGCAAAAGATGTTCGACCGGTTTGGTTCGACCTGATATGCTCTCTTTCATCTTTGCTTTCTGATGACCTTCAAGGCTTGCAAAAATTCAACATTGGTGGGATTTTTCAGTGAAAAGCCTTCAATGCCTAAGTTAGAGATGTGTAGGAGATTTTGAACAGTACATAGTACATATTAAGAGATAAAAGTGTCGTGAAGAAGAACTAACCTAGCCGGTATATAAGGGGTATGGTGTCTTATTCACCAAGTCTACTCGGAGGGTTGACCTAGCTGCTCAGGATGCCCCTCTGTACGACCTACATTGCCCCAGACGCCAGACTTTGTCAGGTGGTCAGACCACCAATCCTGTTGTGAAATGTGGTCCAATCTCATTAATAACGTTACTCTCGAGTTAGATGCCTTTGACCGTTTGCCTTCTTTATTAGATGGTCTAACCATCAGACCGACCCCACGTCACCAGTACAACACTTTCTCCACATGGCTAATCCACTGAGTGCGGAGGTCGACGAATTGACCAAACTCTTTGACGGGTCGAGGATCCTTCGAGCCATCTTGGGACCTTAGCTCGACCTGTACCTCGTATCTCCATTGTGCCTTTATCAACCTGAATGCTCCTGGTTAGACGTTCGACTCCGTTTGTCCTATCGTCTCACTTTATTCGGTTGGTCGATTTCGCGGGTCTAGTTCACTCAATATGATATCCCATATCACTACTCGTATAATTTTCACTAGTAAAAATACTTTTTATACTCAAATGACATAGTTCATAAACAACTTAAACAACTATATAGGTTTTGCAAACATTATTTTATACTTAAATGTCATACTTCATAAACGAACCAAATAAAAGTTTAAGATCTCACATATAAGTATGCATTTTATAATTTTTATATATAAAAAAATATGAGAAATAGACTATTTAACCATTAGGCTTTTTTTTTTCCAACATCAAACAAGCCATATCATAAAACTCAAAGATAATGTCTTACACAATGGGTACTCAAATTAGTACAAGCTACATAGCAACCCACACAAATGGACAAACTACAACCACGAGCAACCAATATTAGGTCCTCTTACAAGCCTCCAAGGCCAAACACAAAGAAGATGAACAAGCAAACTTATCAGAATGAAAATTACATAAAGTGATATTCTGGGCAAAAGATACAATATCAGAGACAATAGTCATCACTCCCCAATGAGCTTCATTTTTCTGGTTCAACAAAAGAGCTATCTGATCAGAATCCACTCTGCAGCATAATGATAATGAGTAACCAGTCTGATGAAGAAGCTTCAACCCTCATCTTAGTGCCTTAAAAGTAGCTTCTTCAGTGCTCCCAGCTTTTTCCTTGCAATCCTGCCATCTGAAGTTTATCTTTTCTACAGACTCCACAACAGCTCCAAAAGCAACAGAACAATCAGGTAAGAGACAAGCACTAACAGTAAGAAACAACTGCCCTACCCCTCCCCCTAACATCTCTAAGTCCCTTCTAAGATCAGCCACCATAACATGATTTTCAGCTTTCTGCCCAACAACATCCTCAAAGTCTCTTCATTCCCTACAGGCTCCATCCACCACATCCTTCTCTGCCATCTTGCTGTTCTCAAACACCCAAGTGTTTTTGGTTCTCCACAACCACCATAACATGTAGGTTGAGAGATTGATCCTATCTTGAAAGTAATTGTCCTTCCCCCAGAACAAAGATCCCCCCACCAATCTTTAAACTTCATATTAGCTCTATCAAAATGCACCCACTGAATTCCCAACAACTTCCAACACTTAACAACCCTTTGAAAATTGAATAGAATATGTTCCAAATCTTCTATTCCCTCCCCACACATCTTACAAATGCAATCAATATAAATATTTTTATGCAACAATTGAGTATAAGTGCTTAGAAAGCCATACGAACATTTCCAAATGAAATTTTTGATTTTATTCTTCACTGGTAGTTTCCAAGTTCTCCTCCAAAGTGCATGCATTTTGTTGTGACCTGAGCTGGTGTTGGTTGCCTTCTGGTTCTGTATCTGCTTCTCAAGTAGAAATCTATAAACTTCCTTCATACAGAAAAGACCCTTTGGGTGCCAATGCCACACCAATCTGTCATATGCATCAGTATGGCTGATAGGGATAGAAAGAATACTTTTAGTTTCCTCATGAGAAAAAGTCTGCACCACTAAGTCATCATCCCACTCAATGTATTTGCTTTTGAACAACTGAAAAACTTTTTTGACTCTCATATGATCACTGGGAAATTGCACTGTAGGACAAAATTTTTTAGAGTCAGGTAACCAAGGGGATTCCCAGATATTAATCAATTTCCCATTTCCCACCTGATACCTCACTCCCAATTTCGAAGACTGTCTAGCTTGAAGCCAACTCTTCTGTCAGAGATATTCCTAGTCGGATTAGGGCCAAGGCAATGGCTTTTTGCATGGTTGTACATTGGATAATTGGACATGATATTCTAATGTTTTATCTTAATATTTTTTTATTTTTTTCCTGTTGGCTGTAGTTGTCTTGTTTCCATTTTATAAGAATTTCTACTCTCTCTCTATCTCTCTCTCACACACACATACACACGTACAAATGGGGTCTCACAATTATTTCATCATCAGGTGATTAACTTTTTCGTGGGCTTATTATTTCTTCATATGCTGGAGCTGCTGGGCCCCAAAATCCTATACTCCATATTTGCAACCTTTTTGCTTGATGTATGTGGTGTTTGTAAAGAGGCATGTTATTGAAACCAAAGGAAGATCTCTACAAGATATTGAGATGGCACTTATTCCTGCTGATTAAGAGCATTTCAGGTAAGACGAATCCGCCATGTGTAGTGCTGACAGTTCAGGCGCATATGAGCCTTGAAAGCATTAAGCACCATCTCCACTGTGGTCTTTAACAACTTCCTTGACTAACTAGTCCAGGATTGCATCTGCTAAGAAGAACTCATCCCAACGAGCAAGAACATCAATATGAGGCATCTCATGACGCGCCTTGGGAGTAGAAAAGTCACACACAGTGCAATGTGTTCACAATCAAAGGGTGACGAGGATACACAAGAGTGTCACCCAAACGTGGATGCATATGAACACATACAGATTCTAGACATGACTAGACCAAGCAAGGAAAAGACAAAGTACTACGAGGATCAAAGCTAAGGGTGAAGGAATTCATGTAGTCATACATAACCTGACTGATGTCAGACTTCTTCTCGGTCATCATCCAATACACGATCTTGCTCGTAACTCTATACACGACCTTGCTCTGTAACTTTGTAAGTTGATGTTTATTGGTGGTTGGGGTCCAATTGCATGCCTCAATCTTGTGCAACATATTCTTCACAAGGCAAAAAGAACCAACATGGATGTTGGATCTTGGCCATTTAGTTAATCGACCACCAGTGAGCACAAAAGTCACATCATTCAAATCATTTATTAGAAGAAAAAATGTGGTAATTTCAAAGCTCAGAAAGAAAGACATTAAGATGAATAGAGAAAAAATTAACAACACGATTGTAAAGGAAAACTTTCTCAAAACGAGGGTTATCTTGTTTAAACACTAGGGGGTCAGATAAACATAAAACTCACAGACAATTTGAGAGAAGAAGGGACCAAAATCAATAACAGAGGCTTTTGGATCAACACCCTTAATCAAACAAATATGCCAAAGTCGAGGAACTTTAACCACTCACAACACGCTCAGAATGAAATCAAATTTAGCGAGGAACTCGAATCTCTTCAAGGCACACTCGGAATAAAGACAATTAGAGAAAGCATTGGTGAGGTCATAAGGATCATATTCAGGTTCTTGCACAACCTCAACATCGGATGTTTCTCCTTGCTCTTCCGGCGAGTAGAGTGGTGAAGTCAACAAAGTCGAGGTCAAAAGTATCCTTCTCGGTCGGGAAAAAAAGGTCACTGGCTCAACATGAGGGGAGTTAAAAGAGGAGAATTGGTGGTGATGTCCTCTTCCTCACCAGACTTTTCAAAGCCATCGTCTCCTTGTGTCTCAGATGGTGGTGCATCGAACTTTCAACAGATGTGAGAACACTTGAAGGCTCCCTTGGGTTGATGCAGAGAAGGACAGAACAACAGTGGATTAGGTCACCGTATGAAGTGGTTATGTCACAGGAGGCACAAGACTTACTTCAACACATAAGATATACCTTCTTTTAGGGTTTCAACTTTAATCAGTTTTGGTTTTAACATTTAAAAATTTAAGCATTTTGTCCAAAATAATTTAAAACTCATGGTTGCCACAATCTGCTAACCCAATGTCTCTAGTGGTGGATTTCAACAAATATATACTATTTTGAAAATTTTGATTCGACTCATTTTTAGTGTATTAAATTTAATCATTTTTTTTTTTGGTACAGGGACCTTCCGGTTTTCGGATCCATAGGGAAACCGATTATTCCAGAATCGAGCCGGATCCATAGGGAAACCGACTAATCCAGAATCGAGCTGAGTAGAAACTTTTTAGTGTATTCAATTTAATCATTATTGATTTCAATGTTTGAATAATTCATTATTAATTTGGTCCAAAACCGTTAAAAACTAATGATCGCCGCCTTTCTCCGTATCTGAGTCGAATTTCGTCAAATTATGCGTTTCCTCAAGTTCTAAAGTTTGTCAAAATTGTAGTTAAAGTTTTCAATTTTTTTTAACCAAAATACACCAAAATCTGAGTTAACGCTACCCAAAATACTAAAAATATATGTATAAAAATTCATTGTTTGGTACTGAAATTAATTTTTCTCCAATTTAAAATATCCGAATATAAAATTCTAACATTTTTATCCGAGTACAAAAAATGAGAAATACTACGGTACCATTAAAAAAAAAAAAAACAACTTTTGCTGACATTCTCAAAACTTTCACCATTTGTCCCTTCCGTCCCACCAAACCAGAACACCACACACCCCATGACCATGAGCACCCCATCCGTCAAAATTTAAAGCCCTCAAACCTACCCTTCACAGCCTTGAATGAGAGAGCACAAAAGAAGCCGTAATCAAGAACGCCACGCAGTCGCCCAGAAACGCAGTGGGCCACCATTCCTTTACATTAAACTATCTTCTTTCATATAGTATTTAATACTATCGCAATTTTCAGGCCACCTAATTACGCATGAGCGTATTTAGGACCAACAACCACATGCTCAGACTCCGGGTCCTCCCATTTTATAATTCATGCCCTTGTCGTAAATATTTTGTTTGTTCCTCGTACTGGGGCTTTAGATCTTCAAAATCTTGTTTTTCTGTGAATTCATCGTATAAAGATCGAATCTTTTGCTCCTCTCATCACTCGCTGTCTTGTTCTACTGGTAAAAATTGCTCTTCCCCTCTTATTAAATATTTGATTGCATAAAAGTCGGAATCTTGAGTTGGGAGTTTTAATGGGCCTTGGCCCTTGATTATTTTTGTGTGCTTTGATGGTGTGAGGAGTGTTTAGTTGGGTTTGTAAATGAAGCTCAAATGAATTTGGTATCTGTGAGGAAATTGTTGCATTCTGTTTGGACTTGTGGAATTGAGTAGCTTTGATTCTATCAGATCATCAGATTAATTGACATTTGCGGAGATTTGAATGATCTAAAGGTTCTTGATTGTGTGGTCGTGCTAGTTTAGAGTATGGGAGAACTTCAAGATGATCTTTTGCTGCGCCAATTATTGGGTACAGTTAACATTAGCAATCTAAGTCGAAATTTAATATGTATGATTTAGCAAAATATATTGAGCTTGTTCTCAATAACTGCATTGAGGTGTGTGTGTGTGTGTGTGTGTTTGTGTTTCCCTTCATGTCTTAAAGCATTTCAATATTTTTTTCAAAAATTGTGTTGGCCTCGTATATGTTTATATTTGAGATGAGCCCATATGGTTTTGTTCACAATGAATCCACTTCATTTACTGCTAGCAGATTCGTTCTTTAGCATGTAAAGGCCATTTTTTATGCGCTCTACATTATAAGACTTAGAGAGGGGGTGGGGGTTAGTTAGTATTCATGTTAATATCACTTAGGAATTCCTATGACCGCTTTTGATCGGTTGATATGTGAGTCCTCTGATTTCCAGTTCCTCGTAAATTTTTCTCGTGATGTTTTTGACTCTCTTTTCATCTCTCAATTTGCAGATACACGTAATAATAGCTTACTTATGGAACTTGCCAAGACGGTTGCTACCAGAGGTTCCATATTTCCAGAGAGAGTTGCAATAAGAGCTGACAAAAAAAGTTACAGTTATCATCAGCTGATATTATCCGCTAAGAAGATCTCTAACTTGTTAAATGGTGCTAATTTAAAATCCGTAAGTTGCGCCGTTTTTGCCATCTTTTGTATTTCAGGTCATTAAACTGTAAATATACACAAATCATTTTACTTGTTTCAAAATGGTGAAAAATCTGGATCTTTTTTCTCTCTTGGTCATTTTTGTATTGTTGAACATTGGATCAAGAAATACAGCTGTTGAGTAAACATAATAATGTCAATGAAATTGGTATTTTTGTAGGTAAATGGAGTGGGAGAGAATAAATATCCTAGTGGAGCTCGGGTCGGGATTGTAGCTAAACCTTCACCGGAATTTGTTGCCGGAGTACTCGGAACATGGTTCAGCGGATGTGTTGCTGTCCCTCTTGCACTTAGCTACCCAGAGGCCGAACTACTTCACGTCATGAATGATTCGGTTTGTAGCTTAAAGCTGTCTTCTGTTTATTTTTTTATTTTTTTTTATCTAGTTTAGAACAAACTAATTGCAAATGCTTTTAGAAAATGATGTGGAGCATATAAATTTGTTGATTGTATTTTTGTTTGCCTCATATTTAATAGAGCAGCACACCTGCCACATTTCTAATGCATTAATAATTAGAAGGTCTGATTTTGAAATAGGATATCGCAATGATTTTGAGTACTGAGGATCATCTTGAAATAATGAAAGCTGTTGCGGCTAAGACTTCTTCTCTATTATCCATTCTTGCCCCTGTTCCAGACATAGTGGCAAACTCCAATGAGATTGATCCCATGAAAAACGGAGAAATCGATAAAAATGAAAATTATCTGGAGACAAGAGGTGTGTGTTGTTGCCTTAACTATATATAATGTTTTGCGCTGCTATTTATTAATCTGTTACTGTTTATATGGTTGATGTATAGGAGATGACCCAGCATTAATCATATATACAAGTGGCACTACCGGAAAACCTAAAGGAGTTGTGCACACACATAAAGGTGTCTTAGCACAGGTACCTGCTTGTGTACTATTTTCCTCTTAAGCAATTAAGATGATGCAATACTTTATCATAATTTGCTCTTTTTCCACAGATTATCTTATTTTATTTTTATTTTTTTCTATTTTTAATGTGAATTTACAACTCTTATACTGCAGCTCTCAGTTTAATAATTTGATGTGATGCCGTGTCAAGTTTAAACCTAATACTTGATGCTTAACCTTTTTTTCTTGACCTTTTTTTTTTTTTTTTGGTTGTGACGTAAGTGTTCCAAGGGATTTCTTGTTTGTGATTGATCATGTAGCATAATCTCAATTTCAGGTTCAAATGCTTACTGAAGCATGGGGTTACACGTCGACTGATCAGTTCTTGCACTGCCTGCCGCTACATCATATCCTCAAAAGTCTTTTGCTTCTCTAATTCTTTTTTTTTTTCTTTCCTTTTTGGTTCTTTTATAGAATCATATCTGCACTACTTGTTGTCGTAAAAATTAAAATATAGATTGGTTAATGAAACTTTATGAGAAAGATTAATTTTTTTTTTTGAAAGTTTCTTGTTGGTCTTAACTTCCTCCATACACGTGCACGGCCTCTTTAATGCCTTGCTTGCTCCTCTCTATGCGGGTTCAACGGTAACTTCTCCCACAATTTCGGTTTATTCCTTCATAATCTTCAAAAAGGGCATGCTTTCTGCTTAAGGTTGCTATGTTTAATTAAATACTTGTTTTATAAAAAGGTTGAGTTCATGCCTAAATTCAGCGTGAGGGGAATCTGGCAGAGATGGAGAGAATCTTATCCAGAGGACCAAACTAAAACAGATGATGCTATTACTGTGTTCACAGGAGTAAGCTCTGCCTTCGTCATTTTCCTTAAAATTACTTCTAAAAGGGAAAAAGAAAAAAGAATTATACTACAATATTTAACCACTGTCGTTCTCTTTCTGTAGGTCCCGACCATATACTCACGTTTAATACAAGGGTATGAAGCTATGGATCCTGAAACAAAAGCTGTTTCTACTGCAGCTGCCAAGCAGTTACGGCTCATGGTAAATTTTGCCCAATGATTCTTCCTTTCAGTAATTATAACCTTAAAAAAAAAATGAAACGGGAAATGAGTTTTATTATATTCGGTCACATACTGTATCTTTCGAACCAATAGCCTTTTTTTTTGTTTTAATTTGGTTGACAGATGTGTGGCTCGTCTGCTCTCCCTCTTCCAGTTATGCAACAATGGGAAGCTATCACCGGGCACGTGCTTCTAGAACGATATGGCATGACCGAGGTTCGTATTCATCTAAGCTAATTACTAAAATGCCCCCGAGGTGACTTTTCTTTATCATTTATCAAAATGAAAATTTCCCATTGATATTGGTTTATATTTCACAAGGTCACACCCTCAATAGGGTGATTAGAGATATTTTATGGAGTATTTGTTTATTTTTGGAGATGATTCAAGGGTTAAGTGTTTTTAATTAATCCCTTTCATTATCATCCATATAAAAAAGCACTATAGATCATTGATTTTTGAAGAATAATTTTCCTTGTCTATTTTAATGGTTCCTCCATGTTTCAATAGTTTGTCATGGCAATATCAAACCCGTTAAATGGCAAGCGTAAAGGAGCTACAGTTGGCAAGCCACTTCCTGGTGTGGAGGTTAGTAATTCGAATAGTGTATTCCAAAGATAAAGGTTTTTTTTGGCGTAATCCAAACAAGCATGTTCCTCTTAATCAAATGTTTATGGCAGGACTCAATGACTTTTAATTTTCTTACAACATCTTTTAATTGTTAGACGCTTTGTATGCAAACTTATCTGCATTCTGTTATCCTTGAAAGGCCAAGATAATTGCAGAAGACGGTAATGTGGAGGTAGGTGAGCTTTGCATCAAAAGCCCTTCATTGTTCAAGGAATACTGGAAGCTTCCGGAGGTGCTTTATATTCTCGTACAAGATGCATCGACTTTTCTAGGAAGATTTTGAAAAGAAAAAAAAAAAGAAAAAAAAAAGAGGCGAGGCCCCGTTTCTCATTCTGAGTTAGTGATGACCTATTTTTAGGTGACTAAGGAGTCATTTATCGATGGTGGGTTCTTCAAAACTGGAGATGCAGCTCGGGTGGATGAAGATGGATACTATGTCATATTGGGACGTAAGCTTTTTTTTCGTACTTCACTTTTTATGTATTTCAATAAATGTTGCCCGAAATATTTATGTTCTAATATTATGACATGATTCAGGTACTAATGCTGATATTATGAAGGTTGGGGGATATAAATTATCTGCTCTGGAAATCGAAGCAGTTCTTTTAGAGGTATGTAGTTCACATCTCCCCTTCTATGACTTGACCTCTTTAAAGAAATTCATAAAATTTCCCCAAGTTCTATGTTAGTTTTAGTGCTAATTACAAAGAGTCCCCTGAAGTTTGATCTATTTACACAAACTTCTAGCTA